GAGAGAGAGAGAGAGAGAGAGAGAGAGAGAGAGAGAGAGAGAGAGAGAGAGAGAGAGAGAGAGAGAGAGAGAGAGAGAGTTTGCATCCGTCGGTTGCCTCTATCCTTAGCACATCACCTGTTGTGTTTGTTTTTGCGAGAGAAGGCGCAACAGGTCATCTAGTTGAACTTTGAATTCAATAGCATATCATCCAGTTTACTTGGAACTTTGAATTCAACTGCATCAGTCTGCATGTCATCAGGTTGTCTCATTATGCTGTTGGTCCTTTGATTTGCTGCAGCATGGTGAGGCTCTGGTCTGTCACAGGGCAGCCCCTGCTCCATTTTGTTGGACACACCGCATTGGTGTTCAGCGTTGCTGTGAGTACGAGTGGTGAAATTGCATCCGGAAGTGAAGATGGAACGGCGAGAGTTTGGGGAGGTATGTGGAGCTCTTTCTTTCTTTCTTTCTTTCTTCTTCTTCTTCTTCTTCTTCTTCTTCTTCTTCTTCTTCTTCTTCTGCTTTTTTTTTCTTTTTCTTTTTCTTTTTTTTTTAAAAACCTTACGGTTCTGGCTCCTTGTCCATTCCGGGGAGCGTCAGTCGAAACTCCGGATTCTTTTTCATTCCCTTAGTTAGGGCCCTTAGGGGTATTTAATCATTCATTTTAATTACGATCCTGTCAGTGTGAGCCACTGTACTTTGTATTCGATTCGTCGTTAATATGTGCCATGACTACTGCAGGCATGGACCCCGGACTGCAGATGCCAGATTGTGCAGACTACATCTGGGCATTCTTCCAGATGTGGTTTGCACGGGGGGTTTCACCAAAAAATATTTTTGATTTAGTTTTTTATTTTGTTTCTTTAATTTGGTTGCCAAGTTTGAGATGTATTGCGTTGCTGCATATCACAGTTATGTGATCCTGGCTAATCCGAAATGCAAGCAATAACACAACGTAAGACAATGCCATACAATTGCAAATGAAATGGAAGAACTTGGAAAGAGACAGTGCCAAAGGAAGAAGAAGAAGAAGAAGAAGAAGAAGAAGAAGATGTACACCAGCGAAGGCCAATGACAACTCCCCCTTCAACTTGCCAACTCGCTTCATCCTCCTTATCTTTCCCAACCTCTTCATTCAATGAAAAAATAATACCAACAATGAAAGACTGAACCAGACCCAGCATCGGAATCTCCTCTTTTCTGCCAGCAGTACATGAGGTCCACCATAGCCATGACCTACACCTACTACCACCTTCTACTGGTGGTGGCTATGGCCGACTAGTGGGGCCTTGCCCCGATGTTCAAAGGACAACACAAAGCTGGTATGTCCCCTCTACTCAGACCGCCATGCCTAACTCTGCCCGGAAGCCTTCCCAACCAAGAAGATGAAGATGCATTCCACCATAGCCAGGTAAATACCTCGTCACTGTCCTCCTCGCCGACCTTCTTCCTCCTCCTCCTACCTGGGATGCTCCGCCATAACCAAGGCTGGAGCGCCCGGTCTCCTTCCTCCTCCCCAATGCTGGACTTGGCCAGCGCTCGCTCAGAGCATCCGGTACCTTCCGCCTTTCGGAGGGAAACATCATTGCAGGCTTGATATCGTGCACTATTGGCCCTAGACTCAGACCACTTGACTGGTACCCCTAGACCTAGACCTATCAGACTCCTAAAATTCACTCGGCCTCTAAAGGTACTAACGTTTTGTCTTCTTCTACCTACCTACCCGCCACCGAGTATTTTCCTAGGTACACGGGCCTAACTTACCTGCTACTCCAGTGTTTTCAACTACGTGGGCCTAGCCTACCGCTACACGCCGCTGTAACCCACAAGGCACGGCCACAGGTAAGTACCAGGCGCGAGGGCCTTCCAAGCATACAAGTACCCCGGCGGGTCACACAACACCCTAGCAATCATGTACTCATACGAGCACACGGGAAATCAGTGAGCACACACACACACAGACTGAAAAACTCAGCAAAAAGCGGGAATCTCAGGAAGGCACAATTCCAGCGGCAAAACTCAGCAGTCCACGGTTGGAGTTCTCAGTCTGTGATTTTGCAGATCATTATAGAGTAATATAGACTCTTTTTTTTTGACTTTTTGGAAACATCGAAATGTGGGCAACATTTGGAAAATAACATTAAAATTAAAAAAATTCCTGAGTGGGGATCCGGGCCGCCCGGATGACCGGCAGGGTCCCGGGGGAGGTCCCGAGCGGGCTGGCCGGGCAGGGCACCCGGTCGGGGGCCGGCCCCCCCCAGCGCACTCACCTGTCGGGGGATTTCGGACCCCCTTTGTGTGTGTGTGTGTGTGTGTGTGTGTGTGCTGTCTCTTATACACATCTAGATGTGTATAAGAGACAGGTGTGTGTGTGTGTGTGTGTGTGTGTGTGAGAGAGAGAGAGAGAGAGAGAGAGAGAGAGAGAGAGAGAGAGAGAGAGAGAGAGAGAGAGAGAGAGAGAGAGAGAGAGAGAGAGAGAGAGATGTGTTCGAATCATACTTGCGGCGCATCTCTTGCGCGGGGGTGCCGCACGCGCATGCACGCACGCACAAGTGATGCGGCGCATTAAAAAAGTAGAAACATAAAAACGTCCTAGTTGTGTCCAGCCTCTTTTCGCAAGGATCCCTACAGCATATGAGCTAGGACCCGATGTCATGCAGAGATACACTTCAAACTTGTACTCCGTGAGGGTGGGCAGAGAATATATAGTCTGATTTCAAATTCAGGTCTGTGCATCTCGGTTATGGGTCACTATTTCTCTGTTTTCTCGCTTTTCTTTTCTTTTCTCGTTTTTCTTTTCTTTTCTCGTTTTTCTTTTCTTAGGAATACGTGCAGTGGCCCTAAGGGCCTCTACTCACCAAATGCACAAAAGACAAAACATATGGTGGCGTATTATTCCACGTTCTGCAGAAGATTCATTCTAATTTTGCACATTTCGTGAGTAGTGCAGCCAAGCCCTAAGAGTCACGCGCAGAGACCAACAGGGCCTAGTTACGTGAGCAACCCATAACTGCTGAAACACAGACCTGAATTCGAATCTTGAGTATATATTCGGCCAGCTCGTGCTCTATTTCATATTCACTGACTGCCTCAATTTTGGTGGGGGGTCTGCGCTACATGGCAGCGAGGACCCTTCAGATAGCCTGCATGGGCCGTCTGAGCCGTGTTAAGGGGATTCGTTCTCTCTCTCTCTCTCTCCCTCTCTCTCTCTCGCCTCGACCAAACCCTCACACCCCTTTCAAAAAAGAAAAGAAAAAAAAAAAGTGCATCTGCGCCACATCACAGACACCCCCCCAACCCCAGCACCCCCCACCCAGACCAAGCCCCCCACACCCCCCCCAAAAAAAACCGAAATTTTATTGCAGATTCGGGGTCCTCGCGCCGAGTGCAGAACGACCCCTGTTTCAAAAAAAATATATGTATCATGGTTGTCAACCGGACGTCCGGATCGGGATCCAGACGGTCTGGTCTGGATGTCCGGATCAGGCGTCCAGTTTGAGGTGTCCGGTTGGGCCCCATTTTGAGAAAATTCAAAAAAAAAAAAAGGGGTCCCCAGGCAATTTTCCAGTGCCTGGTGGACCCCTGAAAATTGTTGGTGCAGTTTTTGGTGGACCGTTGGGCCAACCGGACCGGCCCTGAAGGGCCTGTACTTGCAATCTTGGGTGAGCTTCAGCGGGCCAAGCAGAACTGGTTGTGTGTGTGTGTGTGTGTGTGTGTGTGTGTGTGT